ATTGTGAATTGTTAGAAAGTTTCTTCGGTCACTACTTGGAGTTCTGCGACCAGGATGTGCTTGTAACTTCGAGAGACACCAAGGGAAGCGGCAATGCTTTTTCCATACATCGAGTGCGATTAATGTCGGCGTGTTATGCATTGGATCCTAGGTCCTTGAAGGATGCTTACTTTTCACCTATCATGCCCCTGGCAAACTCGCTTCTGGGGTCGCCCCATTTGATTGGTTTTCAAGTTTTCACTCTCGACGTTTTCTCGACCTGACGACTACACCAGATAATTGAAGAAATAATTTTATAATAAATAATGATGTTAGTAATGGGTAAATACTAGGATTAAGAATTACAAAAATAAGTCAATTAAAAACAACACAATATGAAAACCGTATCTGATAAAATCGCCGCATCCACAATTGAAACGTGCAAGGGGTTAGCTTTTGAAGTTGGCGAGAAACTTGCTTTCAGAGGTGATTTGTGCTCCTAAACACGAATATAGAGTGTGGTGGTCTTGAATATCTCAGTTCTTGCATATCATGAAATGGAATTTTCCCCGAGTATCGCATTCAGAAGAGATATTTTGTTTACAGGAACACCGCTAGAAAGTTACCTGCTGTGTTGGTAATGCACGCCTTCGGTGGCTGCAGCGAGTTCGAAAGCGGAAGAGCAGCCGCTCTCGCAAATGTAGGTCCACTTGAAACTTTTTCTGTGTCGAATAATAATAGGTTGGAAAGAAAGTCTTGTCACTGTTGTGACTTTTTTCTTTTTATTTTCTAACTCAATATAGTGGGATTAGTGAACAGTAACTCGTCATTGTTAGCCGCTACAGTGCTCCACCCAATGAAAAGGTAAGCGTTCTCTTTCTGCCAGTATCGGGGGTTGCTGCGGCTAAAGTAAGTCGGCGGCTGATTGCCGCTTGACCGTCCCAACCGAGATTTGTCTTCGGAGATCATGTCTTCTTTCGCGAAGCGAGCGAACCAGCGATGGACGGTCTTGATGGTAGTTGGTGTTCTTCCGCAATGCACTGCTGATGTTGCGGACAGCTGCCGTGCTCCAGTGCCGCGGGGCCGATAGAAGATGATGACCCGAAGATGCTCCTGTGAAACTGACATCGTAATTAAACCCAGGGAAGAGCAGGCGCCCTCACACACCTCTTGCAGGAAAGCTCCTAGAATGTTCTACAAGCTTAAAGGCAAAGCCCGCGCTCATTTGCCATCTTAGATAGTGAATTTGGGCTTCGCATAAAGAGGACAAGGTTCAGAGTAACTCAATAGTGAAGGAAAAAGCAGAAAAACATGCCCAATGTCCTAAATAGGACCCCATTACAATCCTAGTTTGTACGTGCATGCGATGGGGAAACAGCGCTTATGGACGAGCGTTCCACGTTATTGGCTCGCTGCCAGAAATAGT